CCTTTGGGTGGGTTCCCTGCTATTCTTTTGTGTCCCGCCCAGCCCCTCGGGGCCCGCGGGCCTGGCCCACGCCTCCGTGGCCTCGCTGGCCCAGCCAGGCTTGCAGGAAGGGGGAAGACGACCTGCGGCACCTTCCCAGCAACTTTGTGTGGACGTGAGATGGGGGGGAGGCGCCCTGCAAGTGAGCCCCCCGGGGCTCAATCTTTCCTCCCCACAGCCACCGATGGGGAGCGGAAGGAGCAAATCCGCTGCAGGACGGAGCCTCCGGTTTTCCCCTTTGCTGGCCATTGTTGGCCTGTGTGCAGTGCGTGCAACGCGCATTTAAAAGGGGCAGGATTTGGTTGCTCAGCCGCCTCTGCCATTTTGAAGCCGGGGACCATTGCTGCGGACACCCCTGCCGGCTGTCTGGAAGGATCCCGTGGGCAATGGTGTCGATGGCCCTGAGAGGACCGGAAGGGTGCGCTCCCCCCATCTAGGTCCCGTCAGTGTCACCGCTAGCATTTTGGTCCCATGCCCAGCCCTGAATCCTGATGGCAAAGATCCAGAAAACCCACTTCTTCTAGGGCACTCCAGGCTGGCTCCCCCCCTTCTCTTCCCCAAACAGAGAAAGTTGAGAGAGGCCAAATGTGGCTGAATCCAGGGAGGGCATCTCAAGGAGGGGGCACACCCCAGCCTCTTTCATGGCCACAGGCATCATTCCCCCCCCCCAGGTTTGGCAGCCTCCCCACCCGGCCAGTCACACCTCCTGCTGCCCCCTCCAGAAGCCAGGAGGGGCGTGGGTCAAGGACCCAGGTGGCCCCCTGCCCGCTCCATCAGAGACCCAGTTGAAGTGGCAAAGCCTTGAATGATACTGAGCGACTATTGCATGAACTGCTATATTATTTTATATTCGTTGGTTTTTTCCCTGTGTATTTTGGGGGCCTTATACTGCTTGGTGATGTGCGGCCCAGCGTCTCAGTGGATTGGGGTAGTTTCCCAAATAAACGAATGGTTAAAAAGGACAGAAAGCACTGAGAAGGAATAAGGGGGCGATTTTCTCAGTTAAGGGTTGAGAGAGGAGTCCCTGAAGGATCTGTGACGGGGCCGGTGCTCTTTAACACGCTCGTCCTCAGTCTGGACTTGAGACTTGACAAGGCCGCCCGTCTTTCCTGGGGCAAACCCCAGAAATGGCTGAGAAACGCTCCCGGAGCCCCTCTTTAGACAGGGCGGAAGGTCGGTCAGCCCAGAAATGCTGTTCTTTTAAGGAAGCGAGAAAGGACGGGCGGGGAGGATGCGTTGGGGTCTGAGCGTCTGTGGGTAAGCAGGAAAGATCTCGGGGTCACGGCGGAGGGAACGGGTTGAAAATAAAGCTGCCAGCGTGGTAATGCTCTTATGGAGATTTATGACAGCGCCACCTCGGAATACCGCAACGTCCAGCTGAGAAAGGAGATTGCAGAAGTGGGTGACCCAAATGGCCAGAGGGAAGGGTCAGGATTCTGGATGGATGGATGGATGGATGGACAGACGGATGGACGGATGGAGATCCTTCCCATTTTCCTTCAGGAAGGTGTTGGAGTCTCTGATCATTTGGGTTGAGAGAGACAGAGAGGAAGAGAGACACATATTATATTATGATATGATATGATATGATATGATATATGATTAATGGATGTGCATATCTACCTGTCTATACCAGTGTTTCTCAACCTTGGCCGCTTTCAGAGGCTGGCTGGGGAATTCTGGGAGTTGAAGTCCACTCATCTTAAAGCGGCCAAGGCTGAGAAACACTGGTCTCTACATGCATGCCCGCAGGGTATATCAAGCGTGCCTGGCATGAAAGAAAATGGATTGGGAGAACTTTTTCTCCTCTCCAGATAGGACCAGGGGCCATTCAGTGACGTGACTGGAAGGAGATGTGGGGTGGGGTCTTTCTTCACACAAGCTGTGATCACCCCAACCGTTGGTGGGCTTTAGCATGGGATTGGGTCAATGCATCGGAGACCCGCTGTTCTCTGGGGAGGGGGGAGCAGCAGAAGTCTAAAAGCCATCTGCAGGGAAGGGCAGGAGAGAGGGACGGGTTCATCTCCTGCCTGCAAGCGGGATCTCAGGCTGGCCGTGCAGGGAGCAGCAACTTTCGGGGGGGCCTGATCCACCAAGGCTGCGCCTGTGTTAGCAAAACACAGTTCTTTGGTCACCTCGCATGCAGCCCTCCCCGCATCAAAGCCTGTTGTGGCTCATGTGATCGCCTGGTTCACCCTACACGTAAAGAGCGTGGCTAAGTTCACGCAACCCAGCTACCCACCTTGGACAAGCGTATTGTGCAAGGCCAGGCTCCCCAACCTGGGGCCCTCCAGACAGGATGGATTAAAAACCCCATCCTCCCCAGCCAGCAGCCTAGAGGATACCGGATAGGGCTGTCTTTTGAGTAGAGACGGTCAAGCTCTCCCTTCTGCAGATGATCCATGCGTGTTTCTTAACCGCGGCCACCGCTACCAGCTTCTTTGGGGTGGGGGGGCTATTATTGCCAGAAGCAGAGTGCTACGGCAGCCACCAGCGAGCAAGACCAATGGCAAGGGAGAAACCGAGG